TCTCTTCTCTTCTCTTCTCTTCTCTTCTCTTCTCTTCTCTTCTCTTCTCTTCTCTTCTCTTCTCTTCTCTTCTCCCCCTATTCCCTTTTCCATATTCCCATTTTTCTATTCTATTCTAAGACTGTTTTTTCCTAAAAAGATTGCTTGTCAGGTGTTACATCTTTTCTATCCTGCTCTACAGAGCAGAGGGTTGGTCTCGGACAGAAAGCCCTTTGAAGAGACTAGACAGCATGTGAAATGTGGATTTACAGGCAGCTGTTACGTATAAGCTGGGTTGACAAAATCAGAAAAGAGCAAACAGTTAAGTATGGCAAAATTATGAATGAAAAGGGTGAATTTAAATCTATGCAAGAACTGGAGCAACAAGCTATAAGGATGAATTGGTTTTCATATGCGCAAATACATTCTAGATATGATAAAGATCTCAAAACAGAAGGTTTTTATGATAAATTGACTGCCTTAGATAAAATTTTAACAAGTACTGATGAAAAGGTGATTAAGAAATTATATGGATATTTATTAGAGGTTAAATTAGAAGAACAAGTTAAAGAAACAATGATGGCATGGGGGAAAAATTTTGTATACGGGATTGACTTAGAGAGATGGCAAAATCTATGGTCTCAAAATTATAAAATGACAATGTCAACTGCATATAAAGAAAATTTGTATAAGATGTTTTACAGGTAGCATCTTCCCCCAACGAGAATAGGAAGAATGTTTAAGAATAAATCCAAAAAATGTTGAAAATGTCATCAGATACCTGGGTCATTTTACCATAAGTGGTAGACATGCGCAGAGGCGAAAAAATATTGGATTACAAACCACACATGGTTGGAAAAAATGAAGTCATATTGATTTTAAACCAGAGATATTTTTATTGGGTATTGTACCAGAGATATACAGTAGAGAACTGATATATTTGATTGTGAATGTACTAACAGCAGCTAGAATTGTATTTGCAAAGAATTGGAAAAATGAGAAAATACCAACACAGGAGGAAGTTATTAAGAAAATAGTGGAATGTGCTGAAATGAGTAAATTGACATTTGAAATTAGAGAACAAGAAGAAAAACAATATTATAAGATATGGGATTTATTTTATCAATGGTTAGAAAAAAAAGTGTGGAAATGATATATTTTATAGATAACTTTACAATATAAAAATAATAGAATTTAAGAGAAAATGATATAAGAATGTATTTTTTATTAGATGAAGTGTCAATGGAAGTTACATTACATATTGGTTTAAAATGCTGAATATCTTATATGAAGTGGTGGAACAAATACTTATTGTCAAATGAAAGAACCACAGTGATAATAATACTTATATATATACATAAAATGGAAAATATGAGAATTTATGTGACTTGTGAAGGAGGACTATGGACACGCAGCACAAAAGAATTGCAACCAGTCGACACACTGTATGTAATTGAAAGATGGTTTTATGTTTTTATGTATTGTTTTGTCTGTATTTGTTTAAAAAAAATAAAAAACTTTAAAAAAAATCAGAAAAGAGGAAGTGATAAGCCGCCGGGGAAAGCCAAGGGAAACCATCAAAACCATAAAAAAGCAAAAGTTAACAATATTTTGGACATGTGATGCAACACCTGGAAAAACACACCACACTTCACTTGATCCTCCAAGGAAAGACTGAAAGCAAACAAGGTCAAGGCAGAAAAAGAATCTAAGGGTCTGGTTTGGGCAAAACTTAACAGCACTGTTTTGTGCAGCTGTTGATAAAAATAGGATCGTCATGTTCGCCAACATCCAATGATGATGATGAAGAAGAGGAAGAGGAAGAAGAAGAGGAAGAAGAAGAAGAAGAAGAAGAAGAAGAAGAAGAAGAAGAAAGAAAGAAAGAAAGAAGAAGGAAGAAGAAGAAAAAGAAGGAAGGAAGGAGG